ATGTCTGTGGCACAAATGAAGAAACTCAGGCTCAAAGAAATTGGGCTTCTGTGTTTTTTATTTTTCCCATTTGTTTGGGTCTTGTATGTTAGCCCAGGTTAACCTTCAACTCCCAGAGATGTTCCTGCCTCAGCCTCTGTGCTGGATCATAGGCATATGCTACCATGTTTGGCTAGCTTCCCCCTTTTAAACTATTGTGTTACATAAGTGCTGTGCTAACAAAAAGCATGCTGTGGTGGTGGTCTGCACCATAGCCCCTTCCCGTGAAGAGGAGATCCTTCATTTTGTCCTGGATTCTGGGTGTTCTCTGTGGGGAGGGACTACTGGCTGATAGCATTTGCAGCCACTAGCAGGCAGTTTTTCAGGGCCTGCAGCTTATGCTGCCATTTGTCCCTCTTGGCTGCCACCAGCACAGGCTTCAGGGTTGCATCAGTGAGCCCAGTGGTGCTGTATTCGGTAAACTAGCTTTGCCAGGAACAAACTCACGTTTGGGTCCTCTCCGACCTTAGTGGCTACCTCTTGGGTCTGGAATAGAAGGGTGTGACAGATAGTTTAGGAATCGCTAAAGCTCTAAGGAGGGGAGGCCCGTGAGTTCAACTTACCGCCGTGGGGGCCCAGTCCTGGCCATACACAAAGCAGTACTTGCAGTAGAGGTCATCATACTCTGGAAACTGAGGGAAAAGCAAGCAGGATCCTGTTTAGTGAATGCAAACTGAGCCCACACATTAGCTAGCCAGGTGCAGTAGGAATTAGCAACATGAGGCACCAGGGATGGACGGTCTGAATTTCGGCAGGAGCAGGGGACAGAAATGAGTACTAACCCTTTAGTTCCAGACTGCCAGGACTCATTGGCTGCTTTGCTCAGGGTCTGCTTTCTGTCTGTCTTTTCCAGTCCATCACCTAGCAAGCCCCTTGCCCATCCTTCAGAATCCACCCTCTGGGAGCTTGTTCTTCACACTCCTTAGCTGGTTAAGGATCATTGTTTGGCTTCTTTCATCCTCTGTATTTCTGCATCCAGGTACAAATGCCTATGACTGACAACCCTATCTGACTAAGGAAGGAACAGGTTTTATGCCTCTGTGGGTCCCCAGTGCTGGGCACAAATTAGATTCTACAGGAATCATGCCGACGTGAAACCTAGGAAGCTACAGTTCTATGGCTAGAAGTGAGGGCCTGGGAGAAGGGAGGCCTGGAGCAGAAGCTGGAGGGAGGTGGCTAGAATACTCAGCTCAGCTGGGCATCCTTCTATTGGATAGAGGAAAACAGGAGAGGATGCAGTACCTGATGAAGATGGAAGGCAGAACACCTACTGAACCTAGAGCCTGGCAGAATGCAAATCATCTAGCCAAACAGAATAGGTAGGAATAATGAGCATTTTCAGTAAGCAGCTCAGAAAAATAATGTAACAAAGTTCTGTCAGATCTGGGTTCGAATCCCACTTGGCCACTGCCTTCTGGTAAGTTTTCCTAGGTATTAAATGGGTCAGCTGAGCCTTTCCAGCCCATCACTCAACCAAGTAGACAGGATCCAAGCTGGAGGCCATAGTGTGATTTTGGTACCAGCTCAAGGTCTCGAGTTCTGTTTTCACGCCTGCTTGTCCTGGCCCAGCAACCAGGCGCCAAGGCTTTCAAACGCTGGTTCTCCTTTCCAGCGAATTGAGAGGTCAGGGCAATCAATAGCTTGGCTCTCTAGGAACTGAGGGAAGAATCCGGGGAAGGGAACGGGCTAATCCTGGTCAGGGCCCACGGCAGCTCACCTGGGCGCTCTCCACCTGCCCGTTGACCATGAGCAGGAAGACGCTGGGACTTGCAGCAGCCATGGCACGACTGGACCAGGAGACCGGCGCAGGCCGCGCGCCGTTGCCAGGAGACTCCCGGGTTGCCTTGGAAACGGATGGCAAGCCATCTGGGACAAATTTCTGGGCGGCGACGATTTCGCGCAAGAACTAGAGCGCGCAGGCGCAGTAGTTTTGGCCGGCTATGAAACCATTTTTCGTTCCCGTCGCGAAACTAACTTCCAGGGCCGGGTCCTCGTGTGACTGCACTAGTCTGACCATACTTGAAGCTCGCAGGCTGGAGAGCTGGCTGATGAGAAGCAGCTGCGGGACTCAGACCCGCGCAAAGTCACGTGCTATAGTTACCTCTAGCCAGAAGGGGACGCTGTGGCCACAGGCGGCTCAGCTGGAGGCCTGGTTTGCAGTGGCCCAGCGCCCTTCCCCGGAGGAAGGGTACGCCCTTCAGGCCTTTGAGACTCTGGTCCTCGAAACCCCAAGAATCCTTCCGTCCAAACCCCCGTGTGTGAATCGGGGGCCCACGAAGAGGATGCCACCCACTTACCAGTCATCCAATTTTGGAGACTTACTGGCAGCTCGGAGATGTTAGAGCTCCGCCCCAAGCCACCAGCATTCTCCCCAGTAGACGCCGCTGTCCTCACTTCGATCCAATCGTTCTTTCTCTCACCACTGCCCAATGCAAGGTGGCTTAATGCTAGCTAGCCTTTGCCTGAGTTCCCAAGTGTACTTGGGAACTACTACTTGAATACATCTCCGTTTGCTAGAGGAAGAGTCTGAAAATTCAGAACCAGAGGGGTCATATTCATTGCAGCAGTTTAGGCTTCGCATTGCAGAACTTCACAAGGAATCATTAGAGACCACATTAAGTATTGGAGAGCCTAGAAACAAATGAATGCAGAGGTGTACACTTCAGGGCACTCAGCCTGCAGTGTGGAGTCCTGGTCATCACAGCAGCTGCCAGCCTGGAAGACTCTCAGAAGTTCCACAGTCACCTGTACGGAAGAGGGAAGGTGTGCGGTCATAGCCTCCCAGCTGCCGAATTCTTTAGCTTTCAGCCAAGAGTCATAAAACCGATGGCTCTGGGCCCCTCTCCCCTTGCTGGTGGCTGCCACCTGCTGGTCTCAACTGGAAGAGTTGGAAAGTTACAGACTCAGCCATGATCAGAGAAGGGGATGACACTTCATAAGATCTGCTGTGGCAAGCCTGTCAGAGCTTTTTGTTAATTGGTGATTGATGGGGGAGGGCCCAGCCCATTGTGGGTGAGACCACCGGAGCAGGTGATCCTGAGTTCTGTAAGAAAGCAGGCTGAGCAAACTATGGGAAGCAAGCTGCACTCCTCTATGGCTTCTGCATCAGCTACTGCTTCCAGACTCTGCCCTGTTAGAGTCCCTGTCCTGACTTGCTTTGATGATGAACAGTAAGATGGAAGTGTAAGCTGAATAAACCCTTTCCTTCATAACTTGCTTGGTCATGGTGTTTCATCATAACAATAGAAACCCTAACTAAGACAAGCTAGTACCAGGACTGTGGGGATATTTCTGTGACAGACATGATCATATTGTTTTGGGGAGGATTGTGGAAAGACTTTGGAACTTTAGGCCAGAAAAGCCACTGAGTGTTGATTGTTCAGTGAGCTGTTCTGTAGGAGTTTGGTGGTAGATAATGTTGAGAGCACTGGGTGGTAGACGTGCACACCTTTAGTCCCAGCACTCAGGAGACAGAGGCAGAGGCAGAGGCAGAGGCAGGCAGATCCCTGAGTTGGAGGCCAGCCTGGTCTACAGAGTGAGTTCTGGTAAAGCCAGGGCTACACAGAAAAACCCTGTCTTGAAAAACAAACAAACAATGTTTTTGAGACCAATGCAGATGATGAAGGCCTGGCTTGTGAAGAAGTTTCAGAGGGAAGTAAAGACTGTAACAGGCCTTTTGTATGAAGAATCTGTGGAATCTGCTCAGCAGGAGCTGAAGAATCAGCTCTGATTAACAAGAGACCAGAACCACAAAGTAAAACCTTTGCTTTGCTGGGACAGTGGATGCTGGTCAGCTGGGGCTGAAGAATCAGCTGTGACTGAGGTCAGCATCAATGAGGTGGACTCTTCTGGTGTTTCCTGAGAATCTGCATACAGAAGCTGTGTGTGAGTGTGTCGGATCCCCTGCAACAGGAGACAGTTGTGAGATGCCATTTGGGGTTCTAGGAATTGGACTCAGGACTTCTGGAAGAACAGCCTGAGCTATCTCTCCAGCCCATCTCCTTGTACCTGTATTCTGCCAGAAGCAAGAATGTGATGGCTGGATGCAGCAGCCATGAGTTCAGACAGGTAAAATGAAGGGAGAATGACAGCAAAGTGGGAAGACAGCCTTAGTCCCTCACAAACTCTGTTAAGTGTATTAGATTTCTGAGGCAGAGTAAAGAGACAGGAGGAGGACAGAGACCAGACTCTGACCTTGGAAGATGGAAATGTTGATTTCAAACAGTGTTGGATACTCTCCCAAGAGCAAAGGGATGCCTGTGAGGGAAAAAGGCTGGCTGGGACCCTGTATAGGAGATAGGAGAAGGGCTTGGGAATGAGGAAATTGCTGCAGCCATAGCCTACATTTCTCTCCTCAAGTCACTCTTTCCCAAAATTGTTTTTGCTCAAGGTGAGACAGACTGTCCCACAGACATTCATTTCTGGGCTGACTGTTAATGCCTGAGCAAGGCCATTGTAATCTTACAGGATCCTGTCTTACAACCGAGGCACTCCACCAGAGCAGCTGGGCCAGCAAATTCGTCACCTTATGTTACCTTTTTATGTATGTGTATATGAGTACAGGCATATGCATATCACATGTGGAAACCAGAGAACAACTCTTGGAATTTGTTTCTCTCTTGCCATCTCCTGGGATCTGAGGATAGAATTCAAGTTGGCAGGCCTATGGGCAAGCACCACTACTGCTGAGCCATTTCATCACCAGTTCTAGACTGGCCTCAAACTTAAGAGATCCTCCTGTGCAAACATGAGTTTTCTGGCCCAGCAGAAACATGTACAGAAGACATCCCCATCACTTCTGCCTCTGCTCCCTGAGAGCTGGAAGGGGGTGAATGACATCATGCTTAGGGTCGGCCTTCTTATGACGATCTTCAATCTAGCCTTTAAGCCATGGTTGGTGGGGTTCTGTCACTTGCATCCCGATGCAGTCCTGACTGGTCCTCTCAGTGCAGGGCTAGAGGAACTGCAGTCTTGGGAAGCCCCTCTCACACCATCTCTGAGGTCTGTACCCCTGCTCCCTAGCATTTGCATGGTTAATAGTAGGGCCCTTGTTTGAATCTCAGCTGGAGTCAGATTTAGTTTAAGCCCCCATTTTCAGTCTTGAGTGATTCTTTCTTATATGACAGGCAACAGTATGTAGCCAGTAAGAGCCAGGCTGATAGGGTGAGGACTGGCCAAGAGCACCAGCTAAGAGGTTTACAGTTCAGGCATTGCCTGTATAGCAGGGTCATGGTGGAGGGTGGTTCTTTTGGTTCTAAACTCTCCTCCCTAAACTGTTGTGAATTGAAGTCCCTAGGAGAAAGCTGCACCTGTATAAAAATTCTACATGCCGGCTGATTGGTTAGAGTGTCTGTGCTTATAGAGAGCTGGGGTGTAGATCCTGAGACAAACTATCTTAGGCTAGCTTTAAGTCGTAACAGCCATTCATGGTCCAGCTGTGACACCTAACATCTGTCCTTCTATCAAGTATATCCATCCACTGACCCAAAGGTCAAGAGTGTTATCAGATGACACCTGATGTCTACAGAAGAGACTGCCCTGCAGTCTCAACCTGTGGGCTGTGACCCCTTTGGGGGATTAACAACCTTTTTACAGGCATCATGTATCAGATAACCTGCATACCAGATATTTACATTACTATAAAAACTTCAGGAAAGTGTTACTACATTAGAACACAGTATTTGGGGTGACCTAAATCTGTGTAACTGGGCCATGGTTCTAGAATAAATTTAATTCTAAGGTGAGCGCTGTGTTTTTATACCCAACATGGGATATCAAGGATCACGGAGAAGTCACCTGGATCAGCACCATGTGCAAGCACAGGTCCCCTGTGTCCAAACATTGGGTGTTGCCTTCTTGAGGGGTGCTGGTGATTCTGGGGTTCATACCTCCCTTAGTTTGGTTGATGGCTTCCTGAGGGTGTGGAGGGGTTTGTGCATATTTGAACCCTTGGGAGCCAGAAAGAGGGTGTTAGGTCCCCTGGAAATGGAGTTACAGGCATCTGTAAGCTGGGAACAGAACTCCAGTCCTCTGAAAGAGTAGCAGATGCTTTTAACTGCTGTGTCATCTCTTGGACCCCACTGGTTCATTTTTAGCTGACTGAGGATTTTATTTGGATACTGTGTTGTGATTTCAGAGCATTTGGTTTTAAGATACCCACTTTTATTTTAGTCATTCTATTTATTTTTTGTTTTCTGGTGTTTAGTTTGTTAATTTCATTGTTGACTTATATTTGTGTAGTTACTTGCTGTAGTTATTTTCCTTGTTGCTGCAGCAAAAGTACCAGCCCAAAGCAATTTAAAGGGTTTATTCCATGACCATGGGGGGGGAGGGGGGGTGGTAGAAGCTGGAAGCAGTTAGCCACACTGCATCCAGTCAGGAAACAGAGAATGACTACTATGGCAGAATCAGCAAGCTTTCTCCTTTGTGTGTAGTCCAGCCAGTACTCAAGCCCAGGGAATGATGCTGCCATTTTGGGGGTGGATATTCCCACTTCAATGAATGTAATTTAGACAATCTTTCATAGATGGTCAGAGGCTAATTTAATCTAGATAATCACTCGGTGTGCCTGGAGGCTTGTCTCCTAGGTGATTGTAGCTCCTGTCAGTTGGCAGTCAACATTAGCCATCACACTTAGCATGCCAACTTAAGGTGTTATGTGTGTATAAGTGTAAGCATGTCACAGATGACTTTGACTGATATTGTCTCTTTTGAAAAACAGGTTTTTAAAAAGTTATTTTCTTAGCCAAGCCTAGATAAGATTTAACTCTAAAGGTTTCAGACTAGAAGAAGCAAAAAGTCATTTTAAAATCTGTTTGATTTGCTTAAATGCCTACAAAGACAACCTACAGTCTATAGATGATCCCTGTGTATCAGTTCCCTCATAAATATAATTTAGATTTAGTTCCTCTTTTACAACGCATTTAGAACAAGCATTTACCTCTGAGGTTTCAGCTTTCCTGTAAAGGTAGCAGGCAAGGGAGCCCAG